AAAACTTTGAATAAAGAATATTTAAAGAAAAAAAAAGAAGTTAGTTTCTTTGGACTAGAATGGAAAATGGATGTGAAAGTGTCATAAAATGTGTTGTTTATAGAACAAAAGTTCTTAAGAAAATAATGGGGGAAAATTTGTGTTTTAAAACAAAATGATAGATATATGCAATATACTATGTGCAAAGTTTAATATTTATTATGTATTTATATATAATTTTTAAATCCTACTTCTAGTACCGATGGTCTTAGATATCCACTTGATGAAACTGATAATAAAAAGAAAAGAGAAACGGAACAGTCTTCATGGTTGTAGTTTCTGCTACAAACGTTCTGAATGTATGAAATGAAAAGAACAGATCAGGACTGATGTCATCTGTAGCATTATGACATCAATGCTGCACAAAGGAAATAATTAATGAAGTCCCAAGGAGACAGGAATAAAGCTGCAGCTAACACAGAGTAAAGGGGTTTAACCTTGTCATGACCTTGGCTTTTCCAAGATTACGTGTTTGTGACAGAGGGCTTTCTGGAATATTTTCTATATTTTAGCTCCACTGTAATTTAACTCTTTCTATTTACGTGTACCCAGACATATTATATATCATTTTTAAAGAACAGACAGGAATTTCTTCTGATATCCACTATGTATACGTAACACAAGTGTGAATAAAGTATTAAAAGAAATAGAAAAAAAAAATGTTTTCATAGTTTTAATTATAAATAATTTCTACATAACTAATGCAACTAAATAATAATAATTCAGAATGGGTTTTCTTGGTAGTCCCGATTGTTGAAATGCCTCATTGTGCTAGGCCTTTTTCTCATGCGAAAGCTCTTCAGCAGGGCTCTGCGTATGGGCTGCACAAAAACAGCATTGAACCAATATGCTCACTTTGAGAGAGGGAGTGCTTGTCATTTGAAAACACCCCCTCTCTGGTCCTGCCCCCTTCTCACTTTGCCGCTGTAATAAAAAAATGAATGGGCCAAATTTTTTTTCCCAGTCCGGCCCTGGTTGAGGTAGTGTTAGGGTGATAGGGTTAATACGGCTTAAGGCATAGGTGTCCAAAATGTAGATCCCCAGAGATTGTAGAACTACAACTCCAATGAGCCTTTAGAATGCTTTAGAATAACAAAGCATCAAGGAAGCTTGTGACAGTAGTCACCATCACCTGGGGTTTGATTTTGGTTGAGGAGCCTGTACAGCACCAGCTGTTGGTTGCAAGGATCTAGCAACAGCTGTATGCACTACCTGAATAGCAAGGAATGCTAATTTGCATATTCAGGTAGATTAGCAAGGCAAGAGAGATGTTTTGTGTTTATTATTGTCTTCCCCACACCTTTATAAATATGTTATTATAATTCCCTGTATGTTTTCTGACATGTTTCTAACAACGCATGGGCTAGCCCAGAGTAGAAATAAAGTTTGGGATGTAAGTTCCATTTGGAACTCCTGTGTGGAGTTTTAGGGATCTCAGCGACAGTCTTCGGACCTGTTGGCTCTAGCCTGGGGATAAATCAAGAGAGCTAGGCCTAAAAGCCGCAAGTGCCTTTGTAAAGGCAATAGCAATCACTGTAAGCAGAGCTGCAGAGGAATAGGGAGAGGGGACGATACCTGCTTGGAAGAAAGGCTGCAGAGGAATAGGCAGAAGGGGCGATACCTGCCTATAAGAAGGGCTGCAGCGGAATAAGCAGAGGGGCGATATCTGCCTAAAGAAGGGCTGCAGCGGAGTAGGCAGAAGGGATGATACCTGTCTGTAAGGAGAGCTGCAGCCTCGTTGGGCGGAAAAACCCCAGAGGTACCTCAGTCAAGCCTCTGCGTCAGGTTTCCCGGTTCCAGCTAGGAAGTTTGCTTGGAGGAGCTACCTGGCCGGGTACAGGGAGCTCTGTCACAAAGCTGTAGTTCTACAACATCTGTGGATCTACTTTATGGCTACCCCTGGCTTAGTTATGGATGTAGTTCTCATAATCTATTTAAGGGGAATTGAAACAAACAAATAAAAGTAAATAATCTGCAATTTAGTCAATTCAGCTGTTTTTGAGTAGCTAAATTAGTACATTTACATATATTATTTGGATGATTTTATTACTAACCAAATGGTGGCCAAAATATAAGTCTATACACGGTTTAAATAACTGACTTTAACTTTTGAGAATAGATGATTGTGTTTCACATAGCAAACTTTTGCTTGAATCAGATACATTCAGACAACCGAAAGCCATTCTTCAGCTGTTAACCACTGTGATGAGCAGTTCTGGCAGACATATCTGTCCGTACTTAACAACAGATTGTGTATGTGCGTAATATATACATTCCTATATCACAAATGTCTCTAGTTTTGGAACAGTGAAAGGCTGCATTCACTTATGCAGGCATTCTTTACAAGATGGCTGCTGAGCGCTAAATACAATTTATTGATAAACTGTCAAGTCACTGTATTCTAATCACTTGTCTACTTTTAGATGGAATAGGATTTAGATAACTTGGGGAAAGAAAAATCTTTTACTTTTAAGTGTTTTTTTTACATGTGAAACTTTCCATAATCAAATTGCCTGAATGTCAGCTTGATATAAGATACCACGATTATTTGAAGCAAAACAAACAAAACGATCTCATTTCAAGATGATTGTGTCTTGAAAACTACAAAGCTCATAGTCCATTACTTTCCTCGGCAACATGGAGCTTATGATACACTTCTGCAACATGTTAGTTATAACACATGTTGTACACATGTTAGTTTACAACGTGAGTACCTTCGTCAGAAATGACAAATTTAGATCTGGCATTTACGCAGGATCGGGATATGAAAGCATGCCTTAGTTATTGCATATGAATTTAAATTATGTTTTATACATTAATAATACATCACGATAAATTGCTAGAGTGCAGATTTTGTTGCGATTTTTCAAACTCAATATGGGTAACAGATTTAAAGCGTTGTTTCCCCCCACCCGTCCCAAATCGCCCCTCTGCTACCCTGATTTTTGTATTTTTTAAAAATGAAGTTATATTTTTAAGATATACAAAAGGGACTACTTTTCCTTATGTATAACTTAAAGGGACACTCCAGGCACCCAGACCACTTCTGCCCATTGGAGTGGTCTGGGTGCCAACTCCCACTACCCTTAACCCTGCAACTGTAATTAAGTTTTTTTATAAACTGTAATAATTACCTTGCAGGGTTAAAGGGCCACTCTAGGCACCCAGACCACTTCAGCTTAATGAAGTGGTCTGGGTGCCAGGTCCAGCTAGGGTTAACCCATTCTTTTATAAACATAGCAGTTTCAGAGAAACTGCTATGTTTATGAATGGGTTAAGCCTTCCCCCAAAGCCTCTAGCGGCTGTCTCATTGACAGCCGCTAGAGGCGCTTGCGTGATTCTCACTGTGAAAATCCGTGAGAGCACGCAAGCGTCCATAGGAAAGCATTGATAATGCTTTCCTATGCGACCGGCTGAATGCGCGCGCATTCAGCCAACGGGGAGGAGAGGAGGAGGATCGGAGGAGGAGAGCTGGAAAAAGGTAAGTTTTTACCCCTTTCCCCCTTCCAGAGCCGGGCGGGAGTGGGAACCTGAGGGTGGGGGCACCCTCAGGGCACTATAGTGCCAGGAAAACAAGTATGTTTTCCTGGCACTATAGTGGTCCTTTAACACCACCCTTTAGTGGCTGTCTACTAGACAGCCACTAGAGGGCACTTCCTGCTCTATAGCACAGAAAACCTGTGCTAGAGCTTCGCTGGAGGTCCTCACGCTTTCAATGCTTTCCTATGGGGAGCTCTAATGCGCATGCGCGGCAATTAGGTCCCCCCGGCCGGTGGGCGGGATCAGTCTCGCCCACCGGCTGACGTAAAGACTGGGAGGAGCGGCGGCGAGAAGAAACCACCGCCGAGGGACATCGGCGGTGTCTCAGGTAAGTGACTGAAGGGGTTTTCACCCCTTCAGCAACTGAGGATGGGGGGTGGGAGGGAGAGGGGACCTGCAGTGCCAGGAAAACGGATTGTTTTCCTGGCACTGGAGTTTCCCTTTAAAGGACCACTATAGTGCCAGGAAAACAAACTCTATAGTGGCTCTAAAGTGTTAATAGGTCCCCCCCACCCTCAGGGTCCCACTCCCGCTGGGCTGAAGGGGTTAAAACCCCTTTAGCCACTTACCTTTCTCCAGCGCCGGGCTGGGAACTCTCCTCCTCCTGCCGACTTCAGCACCGAATGCGCGTGAGCGGCAAGAGTCGCGCGTGCTTTCAAACCACCCATAGGAAAGCATTTCTCAATGCTTTCCTATGGACATCAGGGTCTGCTCACTGTGATTTTCACAGTGAGAAGCGCGGAAGCGCCTCTAGCGGCTGTCAGTGAGACAGCCACTAGAGGCTGGATTAACCCTCAGTGTAAACATAGCAGTTTCTCTGAGAACCCCGCGATCACATGGCCAGAATAGCGGGCATATGCAGTGCCTGCAGAGGGACTGCCTGATCTCTCAGGCTGTCTCCCTCATGCCTGTAAAAATGTTTGTTAAAAAGTTTATTAAAGTTATAAAACAGTTTTTAAATAAAATAAAAAGTAAAATAAGTTAAATTAAAAGTACTTAGATCATATATAAATATATATGATCTAAGTACTTTTATATACACATACATCATTATTAAAAGTGTATTTTAATATTAATCTATGTAATTATATAGATTAATATTAAAATACACTTAGAATAACGTTAATTATATATATATAATTATAACTATATATATATATATAATTATATTGAAGAAAGATGCACTCTCCGGTCTTTTTAAGAATATTTACGGTCTTTAATCCATCACAGGTTTAAAGGTTGTTTAATCAATATAATTATTAATCAGCATAAGATTGCACCAGGGCACTTTACTATTCATTACATCAGGAAGGGTGAGTGCCATTATTTGTGATAGATATATATATATATAGATATATATATTTATTAAAAATAATCAATAAATTGAAAAAAATAAATAAATCTAAATGAATTTAGAATGATGTTATTGTTGTGGACAAAAATATTAACCCAATCCATGTTAGTAAAATGCCTATTTACTCAGCATAACTACAATCAGCATTATTCAACTTTCTATGTGATTTACCTAAAATGGCCACTAGGGAGTTTCCCCTTTGACATCGACTAACACCCTCATTAACAAGATGGCGCTGGAATCTGGGGGAGACCTCCAAGATACCAGTGACATCACACCCGGTAGGAAGGGCAATAAATGAACCACTTAACACCTAACCAATTATTGATGTATTATTCTGTTATCTCTGACAATGCATATGATGTAATTTTGCTTTGTAAGGGGCATGCCGTCCCCTCAAAATAAACATTCAAGTTTTTCATTAACCCGAAATTTGTGTCTGGAATGAATTACTTTAGGAGTGTGCACGCATTACTTCTTAATTTGGCCGGGGGCAGATAAGCAAGATAATCAATTTATTAATTGATTCCACATCAGTTATAAATACATATATGTATCTATATATAAATATTAAAAGTATATATTTATTTATACACACACACACACACACACACATAATTGCATAATTAAGTCATTTTATTAATTACAATATGAGGTACCTGCCTGACAACCCAGGCAGAAAGTCCATAGAATTTGGCTTGCAAGCCCTATGTTTAACCCTGTAACTTTCCAAGACACCAGAAAACCTGTACATGGGAGGTACTGTTTTACTCAAGAGACTTCGCTGGACACAAATATTAGTGTTTCAAAACAGTAAAACCTATCACAACAATGATATCATCAGTAAAAGTTATTTTTTTATTTCACATAACGATAGAATTGTTTTGATAGGTTTTACTATTTTGAAACACTAATATTCAACCCCCCAACCCCCAATATTTATTACGAATCCTAATTCATGAAACCATAAATGTGAGAAATTCACCAAAAATTCCAAATTTTATAATTTTCTGTTTCCAGTTTGTCATATAATTGGTAATTCCCCAATTCATTTTCTAACAATTCAGGATTGACAGGTACTTCACTTATTTACTACAAATTTAACTTATCCCCCCCCCTTTTTAGTGTGCAGCCTAAAAACCTGAAATCCAACTTTAAAAAAAAAAAAAAAATCCCCAAAATTTCACAGTATGGTAAATAACCCAAGCTGACACATTTAACACTTTTTATTTTTTTTCTTCTCAGGAACTTCTTTCCCCTCAAGATTTTTACAGAGGGTCGCAGCCTCTCCATATTAAAACATGTAATATAATATAATATAATATAATTATAATAATAATAATAGTGTGACAGGAGGGAGCACTCAGGACATCCTGTGCTGGCTATTGTCACCCTTTGTCACACTGTCTGAGGTGACATGGAGGAAGTTGGGGGGAGGGCTGATGGTTACCGGGTGGTGTCAGCCCTCCCTCATTCAGTAAAGGGGGGGGGAGAGGGGGGAGGAAGAGACCCTCCCCCCCCCATCCTCCTCCTCACACCCGGCGCTCGAGGGCCACCAGTGACACCGCGCGCGACACCCGCCAGCCATCCCGAGCGCCTCGCGATTTGGGCGGGAAAACGAGCTCGGCACCGAGAGAGAGAGAGCGCGAGCTCGGCACTGACAGGAGGCGCGGCCCGGAAGGTGAGGATGTGGTACTCGGGTCTGGGGTGATCGTACAGAGCGCTATACCCGGGGCTGGGCTGGGCTACCCCCCCGGTGCCTGGCGGAGAGGGAGAGATGGATGGATGGAGGGCGGTGCGCGAAGTAGTTGTGGTAGTTACTCGGCCGGTGACGGGGAAACTTTGTTCATTTTTTTTTTTTTTACTCGATGGGCTTCTCGTGGGCTTTAACGGCTTAACGGACATCGCGGACTTTTAGTAACTTGGCGAAAAGTTATCGCCAGTGCCCTGTCTGTCTGTCTGTCCGCCACCGGAAGTGATTGGCAAATCAGGGTCTGTCCCCGGGGGCCGGTATCGTGTCATCTGATCTTATATCGCCTTATTAGGGGGGTCAGACCTCATCCTTATTATTGGTTTAAACTCTGTGTATAACATTATTATTATTATTATTATTATTATTATTATTATTATTATTATTAATTTTTTATTATTATTATTATTATTTTTTTTTTATCTTTGAGGTGTCTTGGTATCAGGCAGGTTGAGGGGGTGTTTAAGTAGATATTTTATATCTCTTGGGGCCAAACTTAATCAATGCATCTCTATGAGTAAAGTTTTTAGTGTCTCCATGCAGAACGTGGAGACACTGAATGGCAGTGTTGCTAACTGTGCAGCACTGCCTCAGGAAGCACCTCCAGTAGCCATCTGAGAAGTTGACATTGAAGGTGTCCCAAAGGGGAAATGTAAAAGGCAGTGTTTACATGAAAATGCCTGCAGGAAATGATTATACTCACCAGAACTACATTAAGCTGTAGTTGTTCTGGTGACTATAGTGTCCCTTTTAATGGTTCTCTGCAGGGTCAGCAACAAATACACTGCCTTGCCTTGTCAGAGAAAACTGCCTAACACCACCTGTAGAGTAACTTCCTGGATGCAGTCCTGCATCGATTGCAGGACAGATATTCAGTGTCTCCACACACGTTGGATGTGTTAGTTAGTTTTACATTGTTTATATTAAAACGGCACTGTCACCCCTGGGCGGCTGGTGGGGGCCATAATGATAATGGGGGGGGACCTACTGTCCTCCCACCCCTGGGCGGCGGGTGGGGGCCATAAAGATAATGAGGGGGTGGGACCTACTGTCCCGCCCCCACCCCTACCTCTGGGCGGCAGGTGGGGGACATATTGATAATGAGGGGGGGGACCTGCTGCCCCCGGCCGCCACCCCTGCGCGGCGGGTGGGGGCCATATTGATAATGAGGGGGGAGGGACCTACTGTCCACCCCCACCCCCCCTGGCCCCCACCCCTGGGCGACGGGTGGGGGCCAAATGATAATGAGGGGGGCCTACTGTCCTCCCCCCCCGCCCCCACCCCCACCCCTGGGCGGCGGGTGGGGGCCAAATGATAATGAGGGGGGGGACCTACTGTCCTCCCCCCTGCCCCCACCCCCACCCCTGGGCGGCGAGTGGGGGCCATAAAGATAATGGGGGGGGGGGCGACCTACTGTCCCCCCCCTCATTGTCTTTATGGCCCCCACCCGCCGCCCAGGGGTGGGGGCCGGGGGGGGGCAGTAGGTCCCTCCCCCCCATTATCATTATGACCACCGCCCAGGTGGGGGCCATGTTGTCGTTTTTTTTGTTTTTTTTTTACAGTGAGCAGCCACAGGCTGCTCACTGTTTACCAGACATGCCCCTACTCGCAGTATAGCGAGTAGGGGCATATTATTTACTAATACTAAATAATCTTTACTTAGTATTAGTAAATGTGGCTGAAAGACCAATTTAGGTCTTTCAGCCTTTTAGTAGATAACTCCCTGATACTGTGGGAATTAGGGAGTTATCTACTAAGCGGCTGCAAGATGCAGCCACAGCATGAATAGGATCAGAGTTTCATTCATTAGAATGAAATTCCGATCCGAATAAAGTGCCGAATTGCGTTCTAAAAGAAACGAACATACTGTTCTCATTCAGTTAGAACGCAATTCGGCAGTTTCGTCTAAAATGACAGGAAGCATCGTGGGAACACAGAGGGAAGGTGAGAATCATGGGAAAATTGCTCTGACCAGCGGAAATGAAGCACACTTTGCTCCTCCGCTGGTCAGAGCTGGTCAAGTGGAGGAATCCTCCATAAGGCAAAGAGTCCCTACTTTGTCTTATGATTTTAAAGAAGACAGGAAGAAAAGAATAACCGATCCTGAGAGAGGGGAAGAAGAGGAAGAGATCGAGGAAAGGTAAGTTCGGCATGACAGTGCGCTTTAAGTATATATTCTTTTTATTAGTGCAAACTAGAACAAGTAAACCATAACTATATATATTTAGGTCTTAGCTTGAAATCTTCTCCTCAGGTCAGCTGATTAATACATGTATCATACAGTTTATTTCTTTGACCATAACCCGTAAGTAAGCTAAATACAATTGCAATGACCAAATGCCTGGCTCAGCCTTATGGATGCCGTGTGGCACATTAATATACATTCTTCAGTTCCTGGTTCTGAAGTGACAGCTTTCCCTTTCAGTTTTGCACCAACAAATTACGACTTAAGCGAACTGTTTAAATCAGGCTTATTTCTTGTCGTAAATCCTGAGAAAAGCAATTTGTTATTGCCAACTAGTCTTTCTTTATAGAATTAGATAGTGTTGGTATCGACGTGTCCTTTAGTATGAGTGTAATGCACCTTTTCTGTGAAACTCTGTTGGAAAAAACAAGACAAATGATTAGAGGATAGTATGGTACCACCTGTGACACTATAACTAAGAAACAGCGTCCAGGTGGGGCCAACTATCCCTAACACCATCCCGAGACTCCAGGGGTCTCTCAGGGCTTAAAGGACCACTATAGTGCCAGGAAAACATACTCGTTTTCCTGGCACTATAGGGTCTCTTGGTCGCCCCCACCCTTAGGGTCCTTTTCCCGCCAGGCTCTAGGGGTAAGAAGGGGTTAAATTACTTGCCTTTCTCTACTGCCGGGCTCCCTCGGCGGTGGGGACTCTCCGCCTCCTTTCCCGTCATCGGCTGAATTCAGCCAGTACATAGGAAAGCATTCTCAATGCTTTCCTATGGACGCAAGCGTCTTCTCTCTTTGAAAATCACAGTGAGAAGCGCGGAAGTACCTCTAGCAGCTGTCAATGAGACAGCCACTAGAGGCTGGATTAACCCTAAGATAAACATAGCAGTTAGCAGAAAGGGTTATTCCTAGATGGACCAGGCACCCAGACCACTTCATTAAACTGAAGTGGTATGGGTGCCTATAGTGTTCCTTTAACCCTATAGTAAACTAGAACAAAAAAGTACAAACAAATATACATGGAATCCCAGCACAAAAAGTGTTGAGAATTCACTGTATCACCTGAAAATTAAAGTAGTTGTTGTTATGGTATCTATATAGTATAAAGATATTTGCAGCTAGGTGTATATGTACAGTGAAAGTGAGATCCGGTGGAAAAAATAATAATAATCATCTTCTAATCATCAAGGTATGCTTCTATGTTACAGCTATATAACAAATCAAAGTCGCTTATCTACATAGAGTACAAATGTGTATAAAATGAGCTTTTTTAGTTTTGTCTCTCAGTGTAAAGGAACTCCCCTAGATCATATTCCTAGTGTTATATAGTAAAATATCTCCTGATATATAGTATCCTGAAAGTCTATAAAGTGTCTATCCTAATGATATATTAGTAGCTAGAGGTACAGGCTATTATCCTCCCCACCCCTCCCCCCAGTGCTTTTGGATTACTTGGCCTGCGCTCTATTTCATCCCAGACTTTGCCAAACTGTAATCCTGAGTATGAGTACATTGATAGCAGCAACAGTATGGCTCTTGGGGATAAACTACTTCTCTTCTGTTGGGTCTGTTCCTGGTAAGGCACTACCTGCAGTTTAGTCAAACCTATAAACAATAAATTGAGGAAAACTTTGTGGTAGTGATTGAATGCTTCGTGATACTGCACAGGTCTACGTGCAGATCTGATGGCAGTCTTAAAGGAACATTAGAACTTTAAAAATGTATTTTTAAAGTTTAAAAGTGCTCCTATATGTAGTATTTCTAGTGACTGTCAGACTAACATTGTTGTGCCTCAGAAACCGCAATATTTCACCTGGTTCTGAAACTAGGGTTCGGGATCTATGCACCAAAACGTCTTCATTAAAATAAAGTGGTTTTGGTGCTTAGTGTTCCTTTGCTGAATGTATAACTTTTAAACCATGGTTGCTGGTTATTTTATTAGAATAGTGTGGATTTTAAGAGAGAAGACAAAAAGGAATTGGGGGCACACCTGAAACATGTATTAATGACCATAAATCCCTGCCTGAAGTGTTCAATGTTCCCTAGGATGGATTCATAGTCAGTGGTCATAGACTTTACTTTATGTAAAGTCCAAATACATATTTTTGATTTGATGTGTAAACTTTTGAATTGAAACCGCATTTCCATTTCCTATTATGAGTTTAGCATTTGTAACCACTTCACATTTAAATACAATTTTATATTAAAACGAAGGGAAAAAAAACACCTCATTATCCTGATGCTTGTTTCCTGCAGACATGCTACTTCCCTTTTTGTATCCTGCATACTATGGGTTGTCTGCTTCATATGAGTATGAGACATTTTTGCATTCAGTGAGCCATGGTATAAAACAGATTTACCCTAGTTGGTTGCCTCCATTCTATCTTTTTCTGAACTCCCTACAGATTCCCCCATTCTCTCCCCCCTGTATAAACCTCACAGTAAAGTTTGTAGTACTACTACAGCTATTTTTGCCTTTCTGTGTAGTTAGTTTTACATTGTTTACTTTAAGTATATATATTTTTTATTACTGCAAACTAGAGCAAGTAAACCATAATTATATATTTAGGTCTTAGCTTGAAATCTTCTCCTCAGGTCAGCTGATTAATACATGTATCATACAGTTTATTCCTTTGACCATAACCAGTAAGTAAGCTAAATACAATTGCAATGACCAAATGCCTGGCTCAGCCTTATGGATGTTGTGTGGCACATTAATATAAATTCTTCAATTCCTGGTTCTGAAGTGACAGCTTTTCCTTTCAGTTTTGCACCAACAAATTACGACTTAACCGAACTGTGTAAATCAGACTTATTTCTTGTCGTAAATCCTGAGAAAAACAATTTATTATTGCCAACTAGTCTTTCTTTATAGAATTAGATAGTGTTGGTATCGACGTGCCCTTTAGTATGTGTAATGCACCTTTTCTGTGAAACTCTATTGACAAATGAACAAGACAAATGATTAGAGGATAGTATGGTACCACCTGTGACACTATAACTAAGAAACAGCGTCCAGGTGGGGCCAACTATCCTTAACACCAGACCGAGACTCCAGGGGTCTCTCAGGGCTTAAAGGACCACTATAGTGCCAGGAAAACATACTCGTTTTCCTGGCATTATAGGGTCTCTAGGTCCTCCTCCCGCCGGGCTCTAGGGGTAGGAAGGGGTTAAATCACTTGCCTTTCTCCACCGCCGGGCTCCCTCGGTGGTGGGGACTCTCCGCCTCCTTTACTGTCATCGGCTGAATGTGCATGCACGGCAAGAGCCGAGCGCGCATTCAGACAGTCCATAGGAAAGCATTCTCAATGCTTTCCTATGGATGCAAGCGTCTTCTCACTGTGAAAATCACAGTGAGAAGCGTGGAAGTGCCTCTAGCAGCTGTCAATGAGACAGCCACTAGAGGCTGGATTAACCCTAATATAAACATAGCAGTTTCTCTGAAACTGCTATGTTTACAGCAGAAAGGGTTAATCCTAGATGGACCAGGCACCCAGACCACTTCATTAAGCTGAAGTGGTTTGGGTGCCTATAGTGGTCCTTTAACCCTATAGTAAACTAGAACAAAAAAGTACAAACAAATATACATGGAATCCCAGCACAAAAAGTGTTGAGAATTCACTGTATCACCTGAAAATTAAAGTAGTTGTTGTTATGGTATCTATATAGTATAAAGATATTTGCAGCTAGGTGTATATGTACAGTGAAAGTGAGATCCGGTGGAAATAATAATAATCATCTTCTAATCATCAAGGTATGCTTCTATGTTACAGCTATATAACAAATCAAAGTCGCTTATCTACATAGAGTACAAATGTGTATAAAATGAGCTTTTTTAGTTTTGTCTCTCAGTGTAAAGGAACTCCCCTAGATCATATTCCTAGTGTTATATAGTAAAATATCTCCTGATATATAGTATCCTGAAAGTCTATAACGTGTCTATCCTAATGATATATATTAGTAGCTTGGGGTACAGGCTATTATCCTCTCCCCCCCCCCCCATTATAATGCCTGGTAGAATGTAATAGTATAAATGGTAACACACAGCTAAAGTAAATAGTCAAAAAATATACACTTGTATCCTAGTGGATACCCAGAAGACAAACAATATTAGCAGAGTTTATAGGTAGAAAGGAAAAATGAGAATACCAATGCCGGAAAACATTCGGTTTAAATAGCCTCTCTCCCTGGTAAATTAGCTAAACAGACATAGGAGCAGAAAGTAAAAGAAAAAAATTATAACATCATAAAAACGTGCTTTAAAAATGCTGTTCCCATAACCCAGGAGGAAAAACGCCCGACGCTCGTTTCGGTAAAATGCAATATGAGTTCCTTTACACTGAGAGCCAAATCTGAAAAAGCTCATTTTATACACATTTGTACTCTATGTAGATAAGCGACTTTGATTTGTTATATCGCTGTAACATAGGAGCATACCTTATTAGGTGATTGTTATTATTTATTTTACTTTATTATTTTTTCACCGGATCTCACTTTCACTGTATATATACATAGCTGCAGATATCTTTATACTATATAGATACCATAACAACAACTACTTTAATTTCCAGGTGATAGTGAATTCTCAACACCTTTTGTGCTGGGATTCTATGTATCTATTTGTTTGTTCTTTTTTGTTCTATTGAAAAAACATGCTAGGTTTTGCAACTTGACATAGAAACATAGAATGTGACGGCAGATAAGAACCATTCGGCCCATCTAGTCTGCCCAATTTTCTAAATACTTTCATTAGTCCCTAGTCTTATCTTATAGTTAGGATAGCCTTATGCCTATCCCACGCATGCTTAAACTCCTTTACTGTGTTAACCTCTACCACTTCAGCTGGAAGGCTATTCCATGCATCCACTACCCTCTCAGTAAAGTAATACTTCCTGATATTATTTTTAAACCTTTGTCCCTCTAATTTAAGACTATGTCCTCTTGTTGTGGTAGTTTTTTCTTCTTTTAAATATAGTCTCCTCCTTTACTGTGTTGATTCCCTTTATATATTTAAATGTTTCTATCATATCCCCCCTGTCTCGTCTTTCCTCCAAGCTATACATGTTAAGATCCTTTAACCTTTCCTGGTAAGTTTTATCCCGCAATCCATGAACCAGTTTAGTAGCCCTTCTCTGAACCCTCTCTAAGGTATCAATATCCTTCTGAAGATACGGTCTCCAGTACTGTGTACAATACTCCAAGTGAGGTCTCACCAGTGTTCTGTACAATGGCATGAGCACTTCCCTCTTTCTACTGCTAATACCTCTCCCTATACAACCAAGCATTCTGCTAGCATTTCCTGCTGCTCTATTACATTGTCTGCCTACCTTTAAGTCATCAGAAATAATCACCCCTAAATCCCTTTCCTCATATGTTGAGGTTAGGACTCTATCAAATATTCTGTACTCTGCCCTTGGGTTTTTACGTCCAAGATGCATTATCTTGCACTTATCCACATTAAATGTCAGTTGCCACAATTCTGACCATTTTTCTAGTTTACCTAAATCATTTGTCATTTGGCTTATCCCTCCTGGAACATCAACCCTGTTACATATCTTAGTATCATCAGCAAAAAGACATACCTTACCATCAAGACCTTCTGCAATATCACTAATAAAAATATTAAAGAGAATGGGTCCAAGTACAGATCCCTGAGGTACCCCACTGGTGACAAGTCCAAGCTTCGAATATATTCCATTAACTACAACCCTCTGTTGCCTGTCACTCAGCCACTGCCTTACCCATTCAACAATATTGGAATCCAAACTTAAAGATTGCAGTTTATTGATAAGCCTTCTATGTGCAACAGTGTCAAAAGCCTTACTGAAATCTAGGTAAGCAATGTCTACTGCACCACCCTGATCTATAATTTTAGTTACCCAATCAAAAAAATCAATAAGATTAGTTTGGCATGATCTCCCTGAAGTAAACCCATGTTGTCTCTGATCTTGAAATCCATGTGTTTTAGATGTTCATCAATCCTATCCTTTAACATGGTTTCCATCACTTTCCCCACTACTGAAGTAAGGCTTACTGGCCTATAGTTGCCCGACTCCTCCCTATTACCTTTCTTGTAAATGGGCACAACATTCGCTAACTTCCAATCTTCTGGGACTACTCCTGTTAACAATGATTGGTTAAATAAATCTGTTAATGGTTTTGCTAGTACACCACTAAGCTCTTTTAATAGCTTTGGGTGTATTCCATCAGGTCCCATTGACTTATTTGTCTTTACTTTTGACAGTTGAAATAGAACCTCTTCCTCTGTAAACTCACGTGTAATAAATGACTAATTTATCCTTTTTCTCAACTGAGGTCCCTTTCCTTCATTTTCTTCTGTAAATACAGAACAAAATATTCATTGAGGCAGTCAGCCTGACCTTTATCCTCTTCTACATACCTTCCTTCTTTTGTTTTTAATCTAACTAATCCTTGTTTTACTTTTCTTTTCTCATTTATGTATCTAAAAAATGTTTTGTCCCCCTTTTTTACTGACTGTGCTATTTTCTCTTCTGTGTGTGATTTGGAAGCTCTTATAACTTGCTTAGCCTCTTTCTGCTTAATCTTATAGATCATTTTGTCTTCCTCACTCTGGTTTTTTTTATAATTCCTAAATGCTAACTTTTTGTTTTTAACTATTTTGGCCACATCTGCGGAGTACCACAGTGGTTTCTTGAATTTTTTGCTTTTACTGACAAGCCTAATGCAATTTTCTGTTGCCTTCAATAGTGCAACTTTTAAATAATCCCATTTTTCTTGGACTCCATTTAAATTGCTCCAGTCTGATAATGACTCCTCTACCCATATTCTAATTTTAGAAAAGTCTGTTTTTCTAAAGTCTAAAACTTTTGTTTTTGTGTGGTGTGACTCAGTCACTGTTCTTATATTAAACCACACTGACTGACTGATCACTGGATCCTAAACTTTCACCTACAGTAACATCTGATACCAAATCTCCATTTGTTAACACTAAATCTAGTATGGCCTCTTTACGAGTTGGCTCCTCAACAACTTGTTTTAGAGACAATCCCAGTAGGGAGTTTAGAATATGTGTGCTCCTGGCACAAGTAGCTAATTTTGTTTTCCAATTTACATCAGGAAGATTAAAGTCACCCATGATGATAACTTCCCCCTTCATTGTCATTTTAGCTATTTCCTCAACTAGTAGATTATCTAACTCTTCAATTTGTCCTGGGGGCCTATAAATCACACCTACACGAGTTACTGTGTGATTACCAAATTCTAACGTAGCCCAAATGGACTCTATGTTTGCCTCACTAACTTTTATTAGGCTAGATTTTATGCTATCCTTCACATACAAGGCCACCCCTCCCCCTTTCTTGCCTTCCCTATCTTTCCTATATAAAGACATTTGTTGTATATTTAAAAACCCTTGACTTTTTATATGTAAATGTATTTAGTGTTTCTGTTTTTATATAAACTAAAGCTGGTAAATTACTCGGTGTTACCCCACTAGGTGGAGAGTTAGATCAGTATAGCTTTGTATATAAAGGGGATTTTTTTTCCCTTCCTTTTTTCTTGTATAGTGGTGAAGTGACCGTGTGAATGTATGTATTTTATTTATTTATTTATTTATTTATTTGTACTTTCCAAAGATTTGCAGTTTCAAGGCTGTGAATGAAAATTCCCCTAAGAAAATGGTAAATTCCTGTAGAGACACAAGTAAAACATTGTTGAAGAATGCAGAAATTGTGATGAATGTTTGTTCCAATAATAAGAAATTAGGAATTTAGTCATGTGCAAATAATAATCGGAATATTTTAGAACCAATCCCCCCAAAAAAAAATTACTAATTTAATTTATAATATAAGTGGCACTCTCACTGTTTGGGGACTACATTGTGCACCCAGAGGGGTAGGTAAAGGTGAGATTTACTTACCAGAACTTGTCACTCACTGGACCGCCATCTTACTCAGTCTACTTTTCTTTAGCTCCTGGCACTTCAGTGGCAGGAGCCAAAGTCACTGCTGTACTGTTACATGTGCAGGAGTACAGCGTTGTCGTCTAAGGAGATTCCTGCATGATTAAAGATCCTCCTTAGACAGAGCCAGTTTCCTGCAGCCGTCACTGTGACTGCTGTCGGTATTAACACTTAGACAAGTCCGCCCTTAGTCCAAGTCAGACGGAGGAGAAATAGAGATAGAGTAGTACAAATGGTTTTTCGGAGGAGGACATATAGTACCGCTTTAAGCATAGTTCCTATAAAATTTAAACCCTGTGAAAGTGACCGGTATACTCTAAATTGTATATTAAAGCCTTCTGATGAACCCTCAATTAACACAATATTTGTGTCTGTATATATGCTTGATAACTTATTAAGACTAAACTTAACCCTTCGTGTGTGATGAAACTCATCTTTTTACTCTTTATCTTTTTGTATTATATAAAGACTAAGATGAAGTGCTTTTTCCCAGCATTAACACCAGCTGGTCAAGGGAGATTTTATTATCTCTGCACACCCACATGGGACAAAAGATTATTATTATAGGCACTAGGTCACATATCTGGTTTGCAAAGTTGATCGTGGGGTCTTAAAGTTTGTTAAAAGGACACTCCAGAACGTTTAAAGCACCTCAGCTTGCTATGTGTGAAGTGTGTCCTCCTTCTTCTTTTTTATTTATTATTTTTTTTACACAACTTGCAGATTTCAGTAGAAATTGGCACTTTTATAGATTAAAGAAAAACTATACTTGTGCACTTTCCAAAATCCCTATCTACATTTGAATAACTGAAAGTTTTTTTTTTTGTTTTTGTTTTTTTTTAGTATCACTCCAATGGCCATTAAAGTGTAATCTCACTTGCCATGTCAACGCAAATACAGAGTGTTTGTTTTTCTAAACCTCTGCAAACTTATTAACCCTTAATAGTGAACACATGGAGTGGGCAACAGTACTTTAACATGGTGGTGCAACGCAAAAGCAAATATATTTACTTTTATAAATTAACCTTTTAACACCCTCTGGTAAACGGACACCAAAGTTCCAGCGTACCTACCTTGCCAATATTTCTCAATGAGCTGCATTGTGAAGTTTTGTGAGTCAAATAAATTCTGGGGTGAATTAGAATGGGTGGGCTTGCAAAGGCTTCAGATAAGATTTTCAGCTTTTGCAAGCTATGTTTACATATACATCCAATGAAAACATGTTTTTTTATTTTTATTTATTGGGGTTATGCAGTTGAGTGTCACTTTAAACCCTGACCTACTGGCAGAGAAGAAACTGCTCACTGCACACATTTATTAGAAACTTACATGAAATTGCCTATGTAAAGTGCTGGGAATAGTATTGAATCCATGTGTGTAATAAATGCAAAAGAATAATAAGCGCTCTCTTCTCAGGGGTGAGCTGCAGTTCACCAACAAGGTGTTCCTCTACCTTGTGATAAATGGACAGATAAAATAGAAAGGTGAACAGCGCTAAAAATCAGAAAATGTACATACGTTTTGTAGAAATACTGGCCAGCAGAGTAACTTAAAAAAAGAGAGAAACAAAAATACAAATAATGGTACAGTATGTATGAATGATATAATTCCACAAGAACAAAGGTGTTATATTCACACTCACACTTTGAGGAGCTATATCAGCTCGGTGTTAAGAGCCTGGACGGAATAATCCCCGTCTATGGATTTCTTGAGGTTCAAGACCGTTGGTGAATTTATAGGTGTAAATATTTGTTACATGAAAAACAAGAGTAAAATACACCACATGGTATAGTACGTAAATATAAAATATTGTGAAAAAAAGTGGATGATCCTACTTACATATACTAGAGCAACGACCTGCTCTAGTTTGGAGAATTTCAGGTGGAATAATCCCCACCTTGGGATATAGTGGACCCAGGTATAGCAGCAAAGCAGTATTGGATAGGAAGGAGGACAAAAGGAATGACTGGATAGTTTGAAAAATATATATACTTTAATACAATAAGTGAAAAGTGAATAATAAACTATAAAACCAGTCCTGTATAAAAGTCCAAAATTCCTCCTCACTTGACGCGTTTCGCCGAAGCTTTCTCAAAAGTGAATCACTTTTCACTTATTGTATTAAAGTATATATATTTTTCAAACTATCCAGTCATTCCTTTTGTCCTCCTTCCTATCCAATACTGCTTTGCTGCTATACCTGGGTCCACTATATCCCAAGGTGGGGATTATTCCACCTGAAATTCTCCAAACTAGAGCAGGTCGTTGCTCTAGTATATGTAAGTAGGATCATCCACTTTTTTTTTCCACAATATTTTATATTTATGTACTATACCATGTGGTGTATTTTACTCTTGTTTTTCATGTAACGAATATTTACACCTATAAATTCACCAACGGTCTTGAACCTCAAGAAATCCATAGACGGGGATTATTCCGTCCAGGCTCTTAACACCGAGCTGATATAGCTCCTCAAAGTGTGAGTGTGAATATAACACCTTTGTTCTTGTGGAATTATATCGTTCATACATACTGTACCATTATTTGTATTTTTGTTTCTCTCTTTTTTTAAGTTACTCTGCTGGCCAGTATTTCTACAAAACGTATGTACATGTGTGTAATAGTCTTGTGCCAAACCCTTTGGAGTAGGACACCGTTTAAAACAAACGGTTTGAGTTGTGCAAGTTATGGTTTTAACTGTAATGGTACTCCTAAATAGGGACTACTTTGTATATGACCTTATCTGTGGCAAAATAGTGCAATGGTCAAAACTTTTGCTGCTACATCTAACTATTTCCCATCACCTTTCTGTTGCGATAGCTAGTGGGACAGATATCAATGCGCAATGTAAGACTGTCTATGGAAGAGGCCACCTTTTTGCAGGACTAATTTGGAGTGGTCATGGTACTTGGAGTCTGTAGGGCAGTGCTTCGCTATTAAACACTGCGCGTACAGAGTTTAACCTAACTCCATAACCGGCTGCGTCATTGAGGTGTCATTAGCCAGCCCGAACAATAGGTTTGGGTGGCTTATGTAAACTTTGTGCAAATCTAGTGTTGCCAGACAGCCAATCATGGCATGAACCCACCACTCTCCCCCTGGCTGTCAGTACCTCCTAACAGATTACCCTCCCTGACATTTGTTCCTCTTCAGCGGGACGAGTAGGAAGTGACTATTTCAGAGGAGAATTGAGTATCCGTGAGAACTTTGCCTCAGAACTGACACAAAAGTAAGTTTCAGCAATTTTATTTCTTTATTTTTGTTTGGGGTAGAGGAACGTCACTTTGACCAAAAACAGTGTTTTTTATTAAAGCTGTTTTTTTTGGTTGGTAACCTTTTAAACAATTTAATGCAAATTCTTTTAGAAATTGTTTTCACAATGCCTTGTCACAAATAAATGGTAATGTATGGCATTTCTACCTTCAAGAATCAGATGATTTTGCCTATGCATGACAGTTGGACAGGTCATTTAAAGTGGACATCTTCTGCTGTATAAGTAGGAGGTGGGGGAAATTCCTCCCTGACAAAGGGGTATTGACCATTGTTCAGATAAACATTCCCTGGATCTTATTTTAACTATATGAAGTAATATGGGGGTTCCCACAAAGATTCCCTTTGTGTTAGTTTTTTATATTTTGTGTAAATCCTGTATCTTTTTTGCTTTGTTAAATGTTCTGTCTATTATGGCACTGGTGAGCTCACAATTTGCTCTGAAAGTAATCTAAGTACAATAACCACTTACTACTAAATGGTGTTGGTAGACCATGGGGGTTATCTCCCAGTTCTTTGTCAAGATGCTTGACCAAAACATGTGGTCCCCAGTGTTCCTGTGGCCTGGCTTTCACGTGTTGGAATTGCTAATGCAAAAGTCCCACTTATGCATTGGTCATATCCATTTCATCCATATTTTGGATTACGTTGATTAGCAGATTCTTTTATGGGATTGAGATGGACTATATTGCCACCATTTTAACACTGTACCTCCAGAGCTGTCAGTTGGGCAGAAGAGTTCTGGATTGTGTGTGTTAATTAGGTTTGTCAAAGATGTGCATGTGGTGTGTTCACACTGCATGCACAAATTGGACTACACAATCTTTTCTTGCAGAAGGGCTGCCAAGCCATGGACCACAGCTCTTGCTGGTAGCTGCTGATAGCCCAGTTTAAAGGACCACTTTAGTGCCAGGAAAACATACTTGTTTTCCTGGCACTGTAGGGTCTTTAGGTCCCTCCCACCCTTAGGGTCCCCCTCCCTCCGAGCTCTAGGGTGAGGAAGGGGTTAAACACTCACCTTTTCTCCACCGCCGGGCTCCCTCAGCGGTGAGAACTCTCTGCCTGCTTTCCAGTCATCGACTGAATGTGCATTTCACTTAAACTTACCTCTTTCTCCAGCGCCAGGTGGGGGACTCTCCTCCTCCTCGGCTGCATCTGCTGCAGGAGCCGTGCGCACATTCAGCCAGTCCATAGGAATGCAACTAGGTTAATCCTAGAGGGACCTGGCACCCAGACCACTTCATTAAGCTGAAGTGGTCTGGGTGCCTATAGTGGTCCTTTAATAAGCCTGATTGTTTCTCTTCTTGGCTTGAGAGGATTCTTCCTTGTAAGTCCAGAAAATAAATGTATTGAATGTATAACATAATAGAAAAATATGAAGGGAAGAGTTGTACCTTGCATTTAAGTTGGAAAAATAACAAAAATGTCTTACTGTCGGAGAAATAGAATATTTTCAAATATAACTTTAAACATTGTGATGGGGGTGGGGTATTTTGTTGCTTGAAAATAAAAATTGCTTAATAGCCTGATGCAGAACACATTTCCAAGTAAAATAAGTCATCTTTGTAACAGCTGAAAGGAAATCTTTATCATGCTTCAGGATGTGGTTAATGTTATGTTTAATGTAACTAAAAGCTTCAGTGATGGGTATGTATGTGTTAAGATGATTATTTTTATTCACTACAGCAGTATGTTTACTATCTGTTTGCATTTTTCTTGTGCGTTTGTTTAAATTCTTTGCTGATTACACAAAAGTTTAGTTTTGTGTTGGCTATTAACAAGTTTAATAATAATTACGAATCTTTAGCAATCTCAACCTAGCTTCCAGTGAAGTCTTGCTATGGGCATTCAGTCATCACATTTTCACTTCTTGGTTTGTTTATTTCAGTTTGAGATATATGGAAATTTCTTTATATCTTATTTAGTGTTCCTTTTAACCTTGGAGGGACACCAGAGGCTCACAGATTATATTATCCCATTGATGTGGTCTGGCTGCTGTGTCCCTGTTCCTTTAGCTCTGCTATGCAAAACATTGAGAGTTTTTTAGAGAAACTGCAGTTTTTTCAATTGCAGAATTAAAACTGCCATGGTAGACTGCTACTAGAGGAGCTTCTGAAAACTCTTGTTTCACAGAGTTTAACTCCGTAAAATGATGCTGGACACACTCAAGCTTTGTATGAGGATGTCCAGCACCTTGCAAAGCCCCATAGGAAAGCATCAAGTCGATGCTTTCCTAGGGTGAAGTACTAATGTGTAGCGCAAGCATTAGCCTCCCCCCATTGTTTGATTTTGGAGGAGGAAAACCTGACCCAGTTCTTGGACTTTTGTGCTGGAATCAGGTAAGTGTATAAAGGGTTGTTTAATCCTTTCGAGAGGGGTGGAGGAAAAGCGACATTGTATTGTTTAGACAATAGTGTTACTTTACCAAACACTTATTAAATGCAAGTAAGTGAATGGAATTAAAGGACCACTAAAGTCATCCAGTGTACATCATCTCAATGAAGTGGTCTTGGTGCAGTGATCCTATAGTTTTAACCCATCAAGGTAAAACATTGCCATTTTGCAGAAACCTCATTATTTCTATTAAAGTGTTAAACACGCCTTTAAGTAGCAGTTCGTATTATGTCAAATATCCTAAAATGTGGCTCTTAGAAATACATTGGATTTAGTGCTTTTCTATTAGAAGCATTTGATTGGATGCGCACACTCCTCTTTGAGTATTATTGGATTGGACCAGCGGCGAGGAAGCAATGCCTACTCGATGAAGTTGTTGAAGGTGGATCGCACAGCAGAGCCAAGGGAGTCTCGATGCTGAAGAATAGTAAGTAAAAAAAACCTTTTTACACAGCAAAAGGGGAGGCCCTGATCACATTTGGAACACAGGTTTGTATTCCTAACACTAGAGTTCCTTTAAGTGAAAAACAATTAATGTAACAATTTTGACATTACATATTTATAAATTATCTTGAAATAGGTGTTGCCAGTCATGTTTCAGTGTTTGTATTACTTTACAGAGTTTCGTGTCATCTGCAATGTGAGCAGCATATTGCTTTGCTGCAGAGGCATTATGGTAGATTGGGGGACTGGATAATCAAATGGCAGATGAAATTTAATGTAGAGAAATGCAAAGTTACGCACTTTGGGGTCAAGGATGCACAAGCAACGTACACCCTAAATGGTAGAAGATTAAGGTTAACAGCACAAGATAAGTATTTGGGAATTGTTATAGATAACAAACTAGGCAACAATGTGTAATCTCCATCGGCCATGTATTAATAAGGGCATGAATTATCGGGATCAAAATATATTTTGCCCGTTTTATAAGCCAATGGTAAGCTCACACCTTGAATATGCTGTGCAATTTTGGGAACCTTTCTAAAGAAGGATATTTTGTCACCAGAAAAAGTGCAGAGGCTGGCTACAAAATTAATAAAAGGAATGGAGCATTTTAGTTTTTTAAAAAGGCTAACAAATTTAAATTTCTTTAGTTTAGAAAAACTGGGCCTCAGAGGAGATATGATAGCATTATACAAATATATTCAGGGTCAATACAAACTATTGTCTGGAAATCTATTCATAAACAGGGCTACACATAGGACACACGGTCACGCATTTAGAATGCAAGAAAGGAGATTTAGTCTAATGCAAAGGAAAGTGTGTTTTTTTTTTTTACAGTAAGAAGTATACGGATGTTTAAAGAGTTGGTTTTATCAGTTTGCACAGATGTTTAAACAGCAATTGGATAAATACTTACAAAAACATAATATTCAGGGAAATTTAATTTTAATTAGTTGAGTAATAGCTTATTAATCAAATTAGATATCTGACTGCCCTTCGAGGGTCAAGAAGGAATTATTTCCATAATTTGTTGCAAAGTTGAAAGTGCTTCAAACAGGGCTTTTTTCCTCCTTTTAGATCAACAGCAAAAACAGATGGGGGAAGCTGAACTTGATGGACACATGTCTCTTTTCAGCTATGTAACAATGTACTATTTGTGAACAACTGTCCTGTTTTACATTGACAACACAACATTTCATTAAATGTAGTAAAAAATATTTTTTTTTTTTTTTTTTTTTTTTTTTTATATAAGTGGAAAATTTAGTGACTTTGTTTCTAACATCCTGAACTTTATGGAGCCTGGTTTGCTTTGAAATCAACTATTCCCAATAAAAAGCTCTTTAATGGCACAGTACTCTGTACACCATTCTCCGACAGCTTGTTTGAGAGGAGGAGAGAGGCTGTCCATTCCCTGGCTTACTTCCAAGGAAAAAAAGAACAAACTTGGCAGTAATGGCAGAGTTTTTATTTTAAACTAGGACAAGTCATACAAAAATAGAATCATTGATTATGGCTAACAGTTTAAAACACTGGAAATATCTGGCTTGCTAAAAATATTAGAGATATAGGAAAGTCTGGAGCAACTAATGTTCACTTGTTATTCCTGTATTGATTCTAGTGTTGGTATCAATATCATGATGCAGTACATAATTGTATATTGTAACGCATATTTCTGATTGTATATAGTATGTTTTTAATGCACATACCCCAAAGTCATCCTGACTCAACATAGCTCATGATCTTTGAACAGCTTGGTTTAAAGGACCACTATAGGCACCCAGACCACTTCAGCTTAATGAAGTGGTCTGGGTGCCAGGTCCAGCTAGGTTTAACCCTTTTTTCAATAAACATAGCAGTTTTAGAGAAACTGCTATGTTTATAATAGGGTTAATCCAGTCTCTAGTGGCTGTCTCATTGACAGCTGCTAGAGGGCTTCCGCGCTTCTCACTGTGATTTTCACAGTGAGAAGACGCCAGCGTCCACAGGAAAGCATTGTGACTGCTTTCCTATGGACTGGCTGAATGCGTGTGCAGCTCCTGCCGCGCATGCGTATTCAGCCGAGGAGGAGGAGAGTCCCCCTCTCGGCGCTGGAGAAAGAGGTAAGTTTTAACCCCCAGAGCACGGCGGGAGGGGGTCCCTGAGGGTGGGGGCACTATAGTGGTCCTTTAATGATATCATGTAACGGTTGTCCTCCTCAGTAAGCAAAAGTGCAGCGCGTTCTCATTTCAGAACACTACATATTGCTGCACTTTGAGTTGGTGATTATGATGAATAATCAAGTATCGGGATGTTATCCCTAGTCTTCAAGGTATAAGCAGGGCTCAATATTTGCCAGTGGCGAGTGAAAATGTAGCCCTGGGATGTAGAGATGCACCCCTGGCTGATAGCAGAGGTAGTACTAGAAGGTGCAAGCTGCATTATAAGTATTTTTAGCCTGCTCTCAGCCAAACAAGTGCTTAGATATAGCCAAATTACGTTCAATTGACAAAATCTGTTAGTTTTATCCAACAAATTGCAGTATAATTATTTTTTTGACTATTCACAAAGTAGATTTAGTAATATGAAATGCATTTGCCATGGGGATACCATTTGACAAGCTGTTTAAAATCCGCCAAACCTCCGGATTGCAACCACATGTTTATTTTGTTTAAAGGGACACTGTAGTCACCAGAACAACTACAGCTTTATGTAGTTGTTCTGGTGAGTATAGTCAGTCCCTGCAGGGGGGCGGGACCTGACCACCGAACTAGCGGGACGCAGGCTGAAAGAGCTCATCAGCCTGACTTTACTATTAAGCTTAAAAGTTTCTCTTCCATTTTGCAAATCCTGCCTTTGTACAGAAGGGAGAGCTAATCCTGCTGTTGGTGGGCTGCTTTTGGATGCCTATGATGATCTTAGACAGAGGTCTAATACACGACCTGCTACTTTCCCCAACCCCATCTGGGATTTGTACCAACTGTGCCGAATGCTTGATTTCCCCTCCCCTCTAGACCGCTGGGGTTATCAAAGTCCCAACTGGATTTAACAAGCCTGCTTTACCATGGAAGACCGATGGCAGCCCTACACCATGAGCCAGAGGTTGGTTACCCAAAAAGGCAGCATAAATGGAAGCATGAGCCACGCAGCCCGATTCAGACATAGACTGACTGCCCCCCCTGCACATATTCCATAACCCTCATCTTGGGTCCTGAGCTGTGACTCATCTACTCATCTTCCCAGAGATCACATGCTTGATTTACATTTGTTTGGCTTGTTTAGTTTTATTTTAATCTAATATTGTCCCTGGTCAACCCAACAGTCTGGCAACACCAAGATGCCGGTCTCTTATTCTACCACCCATTGGACATTATTCTCATGTGTTTGAGGATGCAGCAATGTGCCTTGTCTGTCTGGTTTTTCTTTTGAGTTTTCACATCTCTGCTCTAAACTAAACTAAAAATTGTGCAGTTTCTCTGAATGCCATATTAACATCTCATAATGTTTATTCCGATCCTTGTACCTGCTGTTGTGGCATATTGTTACCATTTGCACAGCTAATATAAGGAATGTAAAAAATAAAATAGTCTTTGCAGGCTTTTTAATATTCATTTTTTTTTTTTTTTATTTTTTTTTTTTATAATTTTTTATTTTTGCAGTGCATATAGAGATAACAAACAGGCATGGGGTACCCCAAAGGCAATCCACATGCACATTTCCAGACAATAGTTACACAGTAGTAAGAGCATTGGGGTATGTTGAACAGTGCACTAATTTTATATTTGGGTATATGCTTGAGTCGTGCTAAATAAACTTTTTGTACACAAGGTTCCGTTAGCGCTAATTTTACTAGGTTGGCATTAGTAACTCAGTTGTTATACCATGTGTAGAGTATGGAGCCTATACAGCGATCATTCATTTTGTTATATTCGGTGTTCACAGTTATACTAAGCTTAATAGCACTCGACAATCACATTATCCTAATCACTATAACAGTTAACATTTAACCGCTTAAATAGCTGTAACCATGCTTACTTTAATTTAACCCATTCTTATTGTGCTGGGCATTTGAATATCAGGCACAATTGCATTAGAACATAAACTTGTTTAACATAATCAGGGTTAACCGTGTAGCTTCGTCTGTAAGTATGTATTTATGCTGTGAATATGCTTGGTCAGAGCGTGGGTTAAGTTGGAAGCTTGCGGTTACACATTGCTAGGCAGGTAGATTATGCATGTTGTGTGGGTAATATGCTAGGCTAGTGTGATGTTATCAGGCATAGAAGTGTAGGATCTATGTGTAACAAGCTGGTGCAGCGACAGCGTGTATAAGACTGATATAGCTATAGAAGCTAGGATTTTCGTTGTTAGCTAAGGTGTGAGTAAGCCTGTGTGTACAATGGGCTATTTACAGTTAACAGTGTCCATGAGGGGTTGTCAGGTCGCAGACCGTTGGCAGGCTTCAGGAGGTAGGCTGATGGGTGTGTTGTGTGCCTTCCTCAGCCTATGCCCCGTGCTTGCCGCAATGGAGAGTCCGTTTCCAGGTTTGGTTTGCTCGTGCTTCTAGTCGGTATGCGGGAACGTGGGTTGCCCTGTTCGCGTTGCGAGCTCTGTGTGCTGCACGATGGGTCTCTGTCTCTTCGGCTCTGGGCTTTGTAGGGGGCTAGTGCCCTCTGTCCGTGGATCCCCCTCCGTCGGGAGGCCGGATCATGGGTCCCCGGGGTTTCCGGCTTGCGGTCTTCCCTGTGGGTGGTCGGACTACGGCCTGGAGTTTCCTCCAGTTGGGCCCCCGGCCCAGAAGAGGGACAGGTGTCCGCTGCTGTGTGGTAGGTAGGTTCTGTTTCGGGAGGGCACGGCTGGGGTCCCCGCTTGGCTAAGCGGTCCCAGAAGGCCTGGCAAATAGCCTCAAACCGGGCGTCAAAGGCCTCTCTCCAGCTTTGGTCCGTCTGGCTTACTGGGCTGTGTTGGGGTTGCGCTGTGGCGGCCATCTTGAGGGTGCCTCGTGGCTACTGCCCAGGTGTCTGGCTCAGGCCCCTTGGCAGTAGCTAGTAGTCTGTGCTTCAGTCGCTTAGTGTGGACCGGGATGTCCCCCACCGGTCCGGGGGGGGGAAAAGGAGTTAGGAGGTATGCTGAGCCTGTGGTCTGGCTCTCTAGCGAGGAAAGTGGCCGCCTCTCCTCGGTTCGATCCCCAGTAGGCCTCAGCAGGTTTTTAGGGTTCCCGGCACTTGTTAGACGAGAATCGGGTGTCAATCGGTTCCTCCGGGTGTCCCCTTCTTGTTTAGCATCCTCCTGATAGTAGACGTGCCGGTTTTTAGGGGTTTTTACCCTTAAATGTGCAGTTTTGGTCAGGAGCTTGGTTCCTGCATGTCTGATCAGCCTGGAAGCTAGGCTCCGCCGGCTTTTTAATATTCTTATTTCATTTTGTGATATATATATATCCACCAACTAAATACAGTGGCTCCTATGGGGTTAAATGAAAGTAACACATATCATTCTTTTATATGAAGGTTGACAGCTAGTTAAGTTTTAATTTTTACATTCATGCCTATTATGTTTTTGTTTAGTATTTTGTGATTTTAATGTATGGAAAGTGATTATAATTGTTGTTATATATAATTATGTTATGTACATATAGATGGCAAAGCATACCATGATCTGTTAAGCACTTTATACAGTAGCACTTTTACATTGCACTTTATTTGCACCATTAGCACTTTTTTGACACTATTAACACTTTAGACTATTGTATTTGCACTGGATCACTTTCTGGCGTAGTGTTGCTTTATATACCCAGGATGGGTTAATTTATAAGTTATTTAGGCATTGAGTGAGTCACATTCATGTCTCTATAATGTTTAATGATATATATAGCTATCTAATAGCTTACTATACACTCTAATCACTTTCTTACACCTAACACTCTTTGTACTTTTAGATCCCCAGATTTATATTAATTGTGTTATTTATCATTCAGTCCGTCGCACTGGTTTGTATGAACACAAGGATTTGTTTACATGGTTGCTGCGGCAACGGTAGTATCCGATACGTAGGCACGCAACGTGAGGGGGCGTGACGCATTAACATGCGCGCGCATACCCGGAAGAGTACAGGGTGTCGGCGGGAACACGGGGGAACACACCTGAGTGAGTACTTTCATTATAGATTTAGGTATTTATTGTCCATGATTGCACTTTACTGTATTGTTCTGTTGTTCTATTTTTTGACCCTGAGGAAGGTCCCGAGCGGGGACCGAAACGTTGGTCGTGGTTTTTAAATATGTTTAAATAAATTTTTTGTTTTAAATCCGGAGAGCAGCCTTTCTACTTGTTGTCTTCTATATATATATATATATATATATATATATATATATATATATATATATATATATATATATATATATATATATCTATCAGATTCATATTTCTTCCTTTAATGGTATAGAATATATATGAGTGCACTTAAACAGGGTGTCATTACGGTAGAAATGAGCTCTTGACAAAAGTGCCAAGAAGGTCATTGATTCAATGCATTCCTATAAGAAAGCTTAAATCCACACACAGCCCTCACTGTGCATGCGCATTAGGTGCCATCACCGTGACGTTGCAGGAGGAGAGCCAGCGCCAAGGGAGCCTCGGCATTGGGTGGTGGTGGTGGGGGACCTATAAAATTAGGGATTGGGACAATATAGTTTTGCATTAGAAATGCATGAATATGTGATGGTTTTTAAAGGAGATGGAACAAAGAATTTTGCTAGTATTAAGGATAATACGAAAGGCTAGATATATAATATATACTTTTTTCTTTTTACAGGTTTAACTCACATGAGATTACTCCACCTTTTGCCGTACTGAAAAACTTGGATTTTTTTTTTTTTTTTTGTGGAACACAATACAGTATAGAAGAGAGATAAAACAGAAGAAGTATAAAATCCTCCTCCATCATGTCGAACCCTCTCAAACAAGTGTTCAACAAGGACAGAACCTTCCGCCCAAAGCGGAAGTTTGAGCCAGGGACACAGAGGTTTGAATTACACAAGAAGGCTCAGGCCTCCCTCAATGCTGGGCTGGACTTGAAGGTGGCTGTCCAGCTGCCACATGGAGAGGACCTTAATGATTGGGTGGCAGTCAATGTTGTTGATTTCTTTAACCGCATTAACCTGATATATGGTACCATCAGTGATAGCTGCACTGAGCAAACTTGTCCTGTCATGTCAGGTGGCCCAAAATACGAGTATAGGTGGCAAGATGATAACCGGTATCGAAAGCCCACTGCACTTTCTGCTCCGAAATATATGAATCTATTGATGGACTGGATAGAAGTTCAGATAAACAATGAAGGGATATTCCCTACCAATGTTGGTGAGTTTTGCTTTTTGAATGCTAAATATACAGACTCTATATACAACAGCTCAATAAACTAAGCACATTCATATCACTGGGACCTATTGGCAGACCGGCTCATTTTTATGAGTGGGTCTGTGTACAGTAGGAGATGGGGATTAGTGGTCTATGCTGGCCCGGTGTGTACACCTCAGATCTCAAGTTGGAGGGATCTTGGATAGCAAATAAGAATGTACAATTCCTCCTAGGATGTCACTGGGCTAGGGAAAAGGCTTATAACTGTAGCAATATTTGAAAAGCCAGACTGAAAGGAGATTGGAAATGGCATACTCTGAGCAATAATGTATGTATAAAGTATAGGTTAAAATGATAGTGTCACTTACAACAGGGCTTGACGAATTTGCTTTGAATCTACGATCCAGCTAAAAAAGTTAGGAGCCAGATTTTAAAATACAATTCTTAAAGGGAAACGATAATCACCAGGACCACTACAGCTTTGGTTCTGGTGTCTATAGACAGTCTCTGCAGTTTTCAATGTAAACACTGACTTTTTACATTGCATCCTTGTGACACCTCTAGTGACCGTCACTTTGTTTGGACTGCCACTAACAGTGTTTCCTGTGTCAGTGCTGCACAGTGTGCAGCACCTACTTTCAGTGCCTCCACACTCTGCATGGAGTCGCTGAACATTCCCCATAGAGATACATTGATTCAATGCATCTCTATGAGGAGATGCTGATTGGTGTAGCGTTTTGCAGCCAGTCCTGTGGCAAAACATTGGATTGGCTGAGATCATCAAGCTTGATGACCTCAGCCATAGAGGCAGGGCCAGTCGAGGAGATACCAGCACGGTGTGGGGAGAAAAAAGGTGAGTAAAAACACTATTCCATTGCGAACGGAAGGGGTCTGGTAATCTAAACACACACACCATGACAGAGACACACACATATACCATGACACAGACAGACACACACTAACAGACTGACTCACATTATTGCTTGTATTTATACCTTTTGGGTCCAGTGGGCGACCGGCCAGAGGATTGTGCAGGCGGACGGCATGCTGGGGAATCGTTCAGGCGGGCAGCAAGTTGGAGGATTATGGATGCGGGCGGCATACTGGGTGGGCGGTTTGCTGTGCGAATAGTAGGCACTTTTAGGGAGATGTGCTGTCTCTGCTCTGCTCCCCAGCGTGCAGCTTAATGCCACTCAGTATGCCACCTGCCTCAGAGGTAAGGGGCTCGCATATACCAGGCACCAAGGCTAAATTCTTAGGAGCCATGGTGACCTGGCGTCTGGGATCTGTTGAGCCCTGACTTACAATATTTGTCACTTACCTGGGTCTATCGTCTTCTCTCATAGTCTGCCAGCGGGGGAGACGTAATGCGCATGCGCTGCAATGGTCGCGCTCGCATTAGGATTTCCCCACGGGTAAGCATTATTCATTGCTTTCCTGTGGGGTTTCGGGTGACGCTGGACATCCCCATGCATAGGGTGAGGACATCCAGCGTCAGCTAGGTGACCAAAAGTCGCCTAAGAGCCTGGAAGTCCCTCTGGTGGCTTTCTGGCAGACAGCCACTAGAGGTGGAGTTAACCCTATCAGGTAATTATTGCAGTTTCTTAAAAACTGCAATGATTACCTGCTCAAGGTTAAGGGACCTGGGACAGTGCACCCAGACCACTTGAATGAGCTGAAGTGGTCTGGATGCCTATAGTGTCCCTTTAAGACTTGTCACATGTAAGTTAAAGGGACACTATAGTCACCATAACAACTACAGCTTATTGAATTTGTTCTGGTGGGTAGAATGATTACCTTTTTCTTGTAAATACTGTCTTTTCAGAGAAAATGCAGTGTTTACATTACAGCCTAGTGATAACTTCACTGGCCACTCCTCAGCTGGCTGTTAGAGATCCTTCCTGGGTCATGGCTGCCTAAAATGCATCCAAACATTCAGTATCTCCTCCCTCTGCATGCAGACACTGAACTTTTCTCATTCATTGATTCAATTCATCTCTATGAGGAGATGCTGATTGGCCAGGGCTGTGTTTGAGTCATGCTGGCTCTGCCCCTGATCTGCCTCTTTGTCAGTCTCAGCCAATCCTATGGGGAAGCACTGTGATTGGATCAGGCTACCACTTCTGATGAGGTCAGCAGACTACTTGTTTTTTTGAGGCAAACAGCATGCAGAGTTACAGCTTCTGGCTTGATACAGTAAGCTTTTACTATATTTATGGAGGCATGAGGGGCCCAGGGGGGCTAGATGGTGGTTTTAACACTATAGCGTCAGGAATACATGTTTGTGTTTCTGACCCTATACTGATCCTTTAAATGCAATCTTTGGAAGTCATGGAGCATAAACAAAATCATAGCTTCTGATTAAGCTATAAGTAGCTTCTGAATATTAGAAAAATCAGTAAACCTAAAGTATAAGTTATGGATTTCTTTAAAATTGAAGAAAAATCTAATCTATAATACATTTAAATATTTAATATAAATTTACAAAACAAGAGTAAATCTGTGAATAAAGTGGAGGTATTAAATTGGCCTAAGGTTTGTGCTTGATATTTTGGTGTAGATGGTAAAATGTATGTAAATGGTATATAGTTTGTTGTGAAATACTGACATTTACATCTGATCAATTTTAACAGGTACACCCTTCCCAAAGAACTTCCTGCAAGTAGTAAAAAAGATACTGTCCAGGCTCTTCAGAGTATTTGTCCATGTCTATATTCACCACTTTGACAGGATCATCCACATGGGAGCAGAAGCTCATGTAAACACCTGCTATAAGCATTTTTATTACTTTGTAACAGAATTTAATCTGATGGACACCAAAGAACTTGAGCCTTTGGTGAGTGTGGATTTGTTTTTATTAGTAATCCTTAGTGTAATTAGATGTTAAATTTGCTTGCAATATGTGGAGAATGGTGGTCTTATATCCGATAAAGTTAGATTTTTTTTTACTTGGGGGTAAAAAAACTATAAGCTTAGCTTCTGTCAGCGCAGGTATAAAACTTCTATTAAATGTATGGTCACATCGGGAATCACCTTAAATAGGCCACCTGTATTTAATTTTTCTAGTGTAGCATACCTAATTTTCTTCATCCCTTTTATATAAGATGCCTCTGACCCATCTGAATTAAAGGGACATGAGGCACCAGAAACTTTACAGCTTTATGTAGTGCTTCTGGTGCAAAGAGACTGTGCCTGCAGGTCTGTGAAAACGTATTGTTTACGTATTTCCCTAAGCCTGTGTCTACACTAACGGCCACTAGAGGCATTTCCTGATGCAGTCCTGCAATGTCTTCACACTCTATCTTAAGTCAGAGGTGCCGACTACCGCAGCATGGCAACTGTTGTGCTTATATACTAGCCCGTAAATACATATAAATATATATATATCATTATTTTTTTTATTTTTTTTTTATTTTTTTTTTGATATCGGGAAAAGTAAACCTAATAAGAATCCAGGGCCATGACCACTCCACTTTAAGCTGGCTTATTTTCAAATAAAAGTATTGAAACTAAAGTCTGCCTGTTTCCTTCCTTCGAGTCAGTCGTGTCTCTCGCTAAAACTACTCCTGTTCTGTATTCTTGTTAACAGAAGGAAATGACAGCGAAGATGTGCCACTAAGATTGGACTTCCTCTTTTACACCACCTTCCCTCTCCCTTCCATTGCCTGTGGAGCCTGTCAATCAACTGCTGAACTTTGGAGAAGAGACTTTGCCTTTTCATATGCCTAGATATCTTTCTATGATATATTTTTCAAGTCTATTTTTTTTCCTTAGCTGGCACTTAAAGCTGTGATAAATTCAGGAAAAAAGAAATCGAGGAGCTGTACAAAATCTGTTTGTAGATATATTTTTGTATGTTCGTAGCATTCCATTCTATGATATCTCATGTCTGAAGAAAAATGCACTCAAAAGATTCAGTTAATTTTTAGGTTCACGTTTATAGAAAAATACTGTTGCTCTCATTAGCAGCATTTACATACCAACACTTCACTTATGATATGAATATAATTACATTTAAAAGATGTTTCAATTCAACACATGGTTATCTTGAAATTGTGCAGACACGATACACTCAATTCATAGAAAGTTTCCTCCCCTCCCCCCCCCCCATTTAAACGGAAACACAATTTGTTTACAAAATATACATTGACATGTTCCTATAGTGTCTAATGTAACCAGATATGTTTTTTTTTTTTTTTTTTTAATGGCTTGGCAGAAGATACCTAGAAATAATGTATTGAGAGTATAGCTCTCTCAAATCTTCCATTGCTGGATTCAAATCACAAGCCAAAAACGCAGGGAAAATATAATAGTTTTTTTTTTTTATTTTTTTTATCACATATGCAGAGATTAATTTTTTTATTTATTTTTTTTTTTTTTTAAGTGGACTGGTCATACACAAAATATTTGTAGATAAGGTGATCGCTCTTTGATGTGTGTAAAATGTTCTGTATGTCATGTTGGCTTTCAAGATGCTCGTCGAAGTGGACGCATACCGACATGTACATCTTTCATTGTATGCTGACAATAGCATCCAATTGTATTGAATGTTATGTCTGAGTTAAGGGATGCTACTCTAGTCAATCAAGACAGGTGGATGTATGTGTATTTGCTGTAGAAACGGTTTTGTTTTGTTTGTCTTTTTCTTGCCATTATAGCAGTGGCATTTGCCAGCCCAGTGTATGGAAAAACTTGACAAAGGGAGATTTAAACCGTTTTAAATCTGCAGATTCCCTGTGTTACTTGGTTTTGTAGTAGGTAAATACAGTGATTTGTGTGTAAATACACTTATCTGAATAAGCTTTACATATTAAGATAGGATTGCAGATTAACTTTACTACACCAGCACATTCCAGTGGAATTTAGCCTTCCCAGAGACCTGTACATGAACCATTAAACTTTCTACAAACAACATTGTTGTTATACTAGCTTGTTATCCAGAATATGAGCCATATAAAAGTAAAAGCAAAGAACAGTTAATAATATAAAATCTCTGGTGCACAGGTTGTGAATGATTTTTATCGGTACGTTGCGTTGCAGCATAATCTTCACTTTTTAGGTTGATAAAATGACGCCATTGAGTTATTAGGGTGCAATTTATTTTTACATTCTAAAATATGTTGAGCTGTCCCGCTAAAAATCAGCTGATGAATTTCCTCAAGTTGCCCAGTATAGTTAACGGGGTTACTCCAAGCATTATAACCTCTACAGCCTGCTCTAGTGATCTAGTGGTAGGAGTACCCTGCCCCCACTCCCGGTTAATAGGGCAGGCACTTTTACAATGGTCACCAGTTGCCGTGTTCACTCTGCAGCAGGCTTACAACATCCAGCTTCTGCAGAGCTGCACATGCTGAATGCTGACCCGACCAGCCCTACATTGGCGGAGAACATCAGTTGACTGCTCACAGCCAATGTACACCTCTCTGTGCATATATTCATGGAATTGGAATTACCGTATTTTTCGCTCCATAAGACGCACCTAGTTTTTAGAGGAGGAAACCCAGAAAAAAAAAAATATTCTGAACAAACTGTCCCATAGTGTTTCTCAACACCCCCCTCCCCTGTCTCATACCACCCACTCTCCTCTCCTGTCCCATAGTGATCTTAACACCCCCCTCCCAGTGTTCCTTACCACCCACTCCCCTCTCCTGTCCCATAGTGATCTTTAACCCCCCCTCCTCTGTCCCATAGTGATTTTTAACCCCCCCTCCCCTGTCCCATAGTGTTCTTTAAACCCCCTTTCCCATAGTGTTCTTTAAACCCCTCTCCCCTTGTCCAATAGTGTTCTCCCCTCCCCTTGTTCCATAGTGATCTTTCCCTCCCATAGTGTCCCCCTCCCCTTGTCCCACACTGTCCCTTAGTTACCTGTATTGTAGCGTGGGCCGGCAGAACAGCGCGCACTGCGGTACAGGAACTTAAATTTCGGTTTCCGGCCGGACTGAAAGGAACTGTGCATACTAAGTGCGCACTTCCTTTCATTCCAGCCGGAAACTGAAATTTAAGTTCCTGTACCGCGGTGCGCACTGTTCTGCTGGCCTGCGCTACGATACAGGTAAGTAAAGCTTCACATTCGCTCCATAAGATGCACAGACATTTCCCCTTGAGGGGGGAAAAAAGTGCATCTTATGGAGCGAAAAATACTGTAGCCAGCCCAGTACTCTTGTTCCAGGTTTGCCAAAAACACCGTAATGATTTTGTCAGAGGTGGAGTTACACTCAGTATGTGGAGTGTTTCAAAGAAAAACAGGTATGACCACTTTAAATCACTAAAGTGGAGTGGTTATGATGCTTGGAGTAAGCACAAAGGTGCAGTCTAACCGATGACCGTGCAGTTGGTACATCTTTTCTAATGCGGCCTGTGATTGTTGACCCCGTCCGTATGATGAAAATCCCTCCCCCTCTTGCTCTGCCATTTCATAAAGTAACACGGCTTTGAAATTTTAACAAATATGTAGATACATTCCCAGAGAAAATATACATGTATTTTTCTTTTTCTGCTTGTTTTCTTTGGGGGTATATGAAATTCTAGCTTGCAAAAGCTGCAACTCTGATTTGGTCTTTTGATTGGGGTTTTAATAGGATGTTTCCTATAGATTGGTAAATAAGCAGTCTATATCACATATATAAAGTTAACCTTATTTTATTCATAAGGTAAGCGTAAACATTTAAAAGTAATATATCGTTCACTTGACATAAGGTTTTTATTGTCCCTTTAAAATGACATATATAAGTGACACATCTTAACTGTAGTTCATTGACAAACATTTCTTTACATTTCAAATACTGTCAGTTCTCTCGTAATTAAACCGTAAACATTTTACTGCACAGCAGTTAGGGGATCCATTGTAATATCTTTTTCATAACTCACAAGGTGAATTTAAGCCTGTATGTTTCATTCAATCTTATCTTATTTTGTTTTACACTTTACCTTGCAATAAATCAATACGCTTGTTCTATGTTCTTTGTTAGAAATGCTAATTTCACAATGACAGGTTTTTTGTTTTTTTTGCATAATACACCAGTAAGTTTACAACAGAAATCTATTTAGGTTATTGCATTAAGTGTATTGACCTACTGACTAGTTCATGCACAAATATTACATTCTCACCTAATATGCCTAAAAGAAACTTTGTTTAATTTATTTTTGTAATTATGCATTTTTTTTCTTCTTTTATCTAGTTGATTTACTTAATGCGAGAAAAACAAGTTTTTCTATTTTCATATATCTAGAAAGAATTTAAAGTATCCGGTATTTTCTACTCACATTTACAAACTGTCACTGAAACTGAATAAATTATGCAGTGTTTACTAACTGGCGTTCCTCATTTTATATAGTGATTTCTCTTTTATAGAAGGTATAAACACAGCAATATATTTGCATTTAGATAATTTTGTGCTACATGAGACGTGTTTGATAAAATAGTTTGTGACACCAGAGGAAACCATCACTAATTGTAACCCTTTAAGGACGGAGGCAATTGTCAAAGTACTGAATCCTAATAAAACCTAGAATTTGAGCTGTAGGTCTGTTCAACCATAATTTACCTCTTTAATATATATATTATATTATTAGTTTTTGTTCAGGAGAAATAGGGCTCTCATTTCGCCTCAAATATTTATATATGGAATACAAATTATGAAAAAAAGTGTGAAATTAAGAAATGTTATTTTCCATGTTCTGCATGGTATTTTAACTGCTAATGTTAATAATACTGTTAGCTTTTATTGCAATAAAACACATTTGTATGCTGTGTTGTCCCAAGGATTCTCCCCCACCCCCCACTATATGTACAGGTTTCATGGTGTTTTGGGGCAGTTACAGGGGTCAGATATGGCGCTTGTCCATTTAATTTTTTACATTGAAATTTGTCCGATTGGTTTGCTGGGCCAATGCTGTTTTTGGGACTGTATGATAGCCCAGGAATGAAAATTACCCAAATCATGGTATACCATTTGCAAAAGTAGACAACCCAGTGTATTCAAAATGGGTATATTCAGTATTTTTTTTAGTAGCCACTCTGTCACAAACCCTAAACAAAGTTATTGGGTTTTTTAAATTTGTTTTGCATTTTTCCACACACAAACTGCACTTTCACTTATCTTGTCGTTATACGTTTCACTGCTCTAACTCTCAAATTTGTGTTCAGCGATGTCCCACGAGTACAACAGTACTCACTACACTAAATACACTGCCAAGCCCAGCACCAATCACCTGTCAGGGTTTCACTTTGAGCGATGCCTACAGCTCATCAGGCAGCCTAATAGAGGGGAGCCCCTGGTATCGACTGATACCTGGGACTTGTTATTGTGAGTAGGATTTTCACACTGCATTGCAGTCAATGGGGATTTAAATCTCCATTTAAAGAGCTGTGCACAGTTTACTTTGAGTGCTTAATACAGCTCATTGGTCAGTCTTGGTCCCCTATACATGGCCCCAGCTGATCAAGGGGAGCCCTATGTATTGATTGATACTTTGGACATCCTTTTGTGGGCAGTTAATTAACACTATTCATACCAGAATACCCACTCTATGGAGAACAGATGGTAGGTGTTGAGCTTAAGTTGGTTTGGTGCTTTTATTAATGGGATTATGCACTAAAATGTAACCCTCTTGCTGTGGATGGTTATATAGAACAATCTGCCCACTAGCTGCCAGCACTGGGCCTGGAGAGGGGACGGGTCTTTTTAAAAGAGAATGGATGAACCTGTCATTAATGCACACTTGACTGTCACAGACATGATTGCCATACTAAAGACCATTGTGCTGAGTGCTCCGCTATTGGTGCACTCTGGGTGTAATTTCTTGATGCCCCCAATGTAAGACACCAAGGAACAATTATGTGATGGCAAACCTGGAGCCTGAAACCAGGACTGTTGTGAGGGAACTTAGCAACTAGCTCCAGTATCTCATCTTCAACATAACCAAACCTGCCTACTTCAATTTCACTACTAGACTATGTAACTACTGTGGCATCCGTGCTATACTACCCCACCACTTCACATTGCTCCCTTTGTTTGCAACCATGACAGTCTACAAAAGTCTGTTATATACTATAATATGCTCAGTGCGTCTTCGCACAAAAATCCACACTAAGCAACTTAAGCCAGGTCACTAAAATGTGAACAGCCGTCTATTCGAAGTTCTTTTCAAATGTTAGGATAGAGGATTCATTCAGATATAACCCTGTTAATGTAAAGTCCCTGCTTCCCTCATCTCACAACACAATTCCCTTAGACCTTGCCCTAACACTGACTTTATCCCATCTCTTTCTACAATGGCTTGTTCACTTATCACACATTCCTCACATGTCTTTCCTAGAAGCCCTTTCTTGAGCCTACCAATTTAAACCTCTCTGTCGTCTACTTTTTACTGGCCAGCTGCTACTTGCTAAAATGCCTGACATTATGTGCATCGTAGCAGCTGTTTAGCAACTACAAAAAATTCAGTTAGCAACAGGAAGTTACCGGCTACCATAACTTAAAACTAATGGCTCGGTTATTCTCCATTGAAGCTGCTAACCTCTCCTTAACGTCAGAATCCCGCTTGTATTCCAACTCACATGTCCAGAACATTTGTCTTGCTTAATCTGCACTTTGGAAATTATTGGCATATTATTAAATGCTCTACGTTCAGCATTTTAAAAAAATAATACGAGATAATTTACAATCTGCCATACAGATTTGCTACAGCCACATCTGGCTTCCATTATGGGTATCTCATGCTATAACAGGGATGTCTAATTTTCTAAATATCTATATAAATCGTGCAAATGCATATTTCTTAGTAAAACTATATAAAAGGCTATTTGACCATCAATTCTTTAGTTTTTTTTGTTGTTTTTTTTAAATAAAATGTGTTTTCTTTATCAATGCTTAGACATTCACTCAGGACAGTAAGAGAAGAGTCTGTGCAAAGACACAGGTTTATCAATGGGAAACAATTCCCCTACTCGTTTTATATGTAGTCCTTTGGGGAAAGAGTCACAGATTTTATAAATTAATTTGTGGTAAATCTTGCGTTTTCATCTTTGGTATGATGTGCATGACATTTCATATTTTGATTAAAGGGACACTCTGGCCACCAATACAACTTTAATGCATTTGATAGCTTTTGGCCTCATTAATATATGCTGTATTTTGTTGCATACTCAAATCTTTATCACATGTTTTGTGACTTTGTAAAATTATACCGAACCTAAAAGATCAATGGTTATACAATATTCTGTAAATAATTCTCATATTATTACTCCAACTTATAATTATTTCTTATTTGTGATTATACATAGACGCAGCTTACTTTTTCCTTTACCACCATGCTCATACAGGGGCTGGCTGAGAATTATTGAGAATTATTGAGGTTTTGTTATGTACTTACCAACAACAGAATGATAAACAGGGTTGTTAGCTAAAGTGTGTAATGACATGATTTCCAACTTTGAGGCAAAAATTGCAGAACTGAAAACATAACAGACTTTTTTCAATTCCTGTCAATTGACACGTCAGTAAATAACCCTGTAAATTTGTCAAACACAATCTCAACTTCGACTTGTCACATGACGAACACAGGCTGTACACTAGAGCTGTCCTAAAATATTTCACTAGAGGGAGCTCTACTACAGTAATTACAACATGCAGGCAAAAGGCCACTGTACCACTAACAATTCAGATGTTACTTCATACAATTACAGTAATTTATTTATTTATGTGGTGCAACATCTTCTGCAGCAATGCACAATAGGTAAACAAGACAAACATTTAATTTGTAAAAACAAAACACGTGGGACATTTGAGAACAGTAGGTGAAGAGGGCCCTGCCCAGACAAGCTCACAATCTGTTACTGATAAGTTAACTGGTATTAACTATCCATCTATGAACCTAGTTTTATACTGTCTTCGTATACAGTCAGAAGATAAGGAGGACTTCTCTCAGTCTTAAACCTATGATGTTTAAATGTCTTCGAAAGTTAGGAACACAAAGATGTATTCCTAACAGTAGTGAGCTCCTTAGCCTCCCCCCCTATAACTCTTTATTCACTTACCCAATTCCAGTGCCAAGTTTCCTTGGCTTTGGGTCTTGCACCGCCTCCTCTGATGACACCCGATGGGGGGGAATGCACATGCGCGGTGAGTAACGCAAGCTCATTAGGCCTTCCCCATAGGAAAGCATTGCCTGGAGGTTTTCCTATAGGGTTTTGTCTGTCGCTGGACCGGATGTCCTAATGCTGTAAGCGCCTCTAGTGGCTGTCTGGTTGACAGCCACTAGAGGCAATATTAGTACTGCAATGTAAACATTGCAATTTCTCTAAAACTGCAATGTTTTACATTGCAGGACTAAGGGGGACACGGACACTGCACCCAGACCACTTTAATGAGACAAAGTTGTCTAGGTGCCTATAGTGTCCCTTTAGCATACATCAAATAGACAAAGAGAGACACTTTAATTTTAGGAGTGTGAGTGGGGAGGTGAGGTGGTTAATAAATGTTATGTGACTTACTAATAACAATTTATACAACTAAAATGTAGTTTAGAACAAGAATAGTGTATATGATTTACACAGACTCATTTCTAAACTCATTTATTGTCGTTTCAAGACACATTACTGTGAGCAATCTTGCTGTGGAGCTCTGTTATACACTCAGACACACCAACAATATGGAGCTACTAGAAAAGAGGGACATTAGGATAGAAAATAGAGATTTGGGCCTAAAATCGTGACTGCCCCTCCTAAATAGGGATACTTGGGAGGTATTAGTAAATAGAAAATATCATGTATAAGCAACTGTACGCTAGACAATAAACGCTACAGCTTATGCTGGTAATGATCTCTGTTCAAAAAATTACTTTTTCCACAGCTGCCATGTGACAATCTCCCCCTTCCTTCTGCAAATGGCACAGCTACTGTTGAAACGTGTCTGCTGTGGGTGGAGTCCCAGCTGTTTGCATTGGGCATGTGATATGCAGGCCTCTCCAGATCCTATTAGATATATGGCTATTGAAAGATGATCTCTGTATCCTCGCATGATCTGTAGCTATCTGCATTATGCAACAGAGCTTCAATTGCATAAATGTATGCGAGGGTATCGATAGGTTTAAAACAGCAACATTCTTCTTATAGGCAGGAGAGAGCAGATATATATTACAATTTGGTAAAACAGTAACGTTTTTCATTTGGGTCTATTTACTAAATATCAGATGGACAAGATTCTGTGCAAATGGGCAAATTCCAATCAGATTGGAAATTCTCATACTTATTCAAGTCTGTTCTGGATGGAATTTGGCTGGGTATAAAAAAAATCTGTGCTTTTCACATCAGAATCCTTCATTGCTTTTTGCAAGAGGTAAAATAGTTGTAAAGCCTTGTTAGTGT